ATAATTCCAGCTTTGATATTATATCCACTATAAGTCCATAAAAATAAATATGTGAATGTAATATGTGAAAATAAATTTCTTGGGGGATTTAATCGGTATAATAATATCATTAGAAATGGATTTATTAGGGAGAAGATACAACTCCGGCTTTGAAGTTATATCTACTATAAGTCCATAAAAAAATAAATACATAGCTGAAAATACTTTGATGAAAATAAATAAATAGAAAAAAATGTTCTTTTTACATTTTGATATTTTAATTTATAATTCTTAAAAGATTACACATATGCTCTTTGCCAAAAATAAATATTGAATTTATATGAAGTAAGCTTATTATTTAAGATTCAGCCTAGAAACACTTTTATTGCTCATTTCTGTTTAAGTACATCTTTAATATATATTTATTTATACAAGATGGAGTTCTGGATATGATGTAATAGAATGGATATATGACGGTTGCTTGAGGTACTCGCAGGGCCTAAGATTACTCAATGGCTCGCAGTGCAACCTCGCAATATGATGATTAAACTTACACAACTGATCCATGTTCTCCTCTCGAGTGTAACGATAACTTCGACTCAAATAAATTCTACTTTCGGATCTTTAAATGCTTCCGCTCTTCGCCTTTAATTGTAAACGAATATTTTTTTCGCAATACTTTAATTTTTTCGCAATATTTTTTTGAATACTATGTAACTCGGATAAAAACAATTCCAAGAAGTTAACATTTAAACGTCATATGTAAAAAAAAAAGCGATGATAGCACATTTCACATTCTCGAATTACAACGCAGCCGCGTGAATTTCGAGGAACGATTTTCATGCCACGTGTAGCATCCAGTTTTTTTTTTTTTTAGAAATCCACGTGCGCACGAGCACGATCGTTATTAGGATGAAAGATAAATAAAAATTTTTTTTGCTCGTGGATATTTATTCATACTATATTCGTGTCCTATGGTTCGTTTAAAGCATAATTGAATGGGGACCCGCTCGTCTCTCGTAGAAGTCACGGGAATGGCAAAGAATTCGCCGCGTGGGCGATCGGGATCGGGATCGAGATCATTGCGATCGGGAGCGAGCGTGTGCAAGAGAGAAAGAGAAAGAGTGAGAGAGAGCCGAGGTCGTGAGCCCCTTCAGACGTAACGTGTTCTCTTTGGCGGAATTTCTCATTGATGCCTGGCTATCCGAAAGGATATTTTTGGACCCGCAAATATTATCTTGAACGCTTTGCGTTCTCGGGATTTCGATGCAACTGCAAATACAAAAGTTATCACGAGTCACAAAAGGCCGGCTTTCTTTCCACCACTTCGTAGCATTTAATTCTCGTTGATGTTTGCATAAAAGAGGCACAGAGTAACTAGATACCAGCGCGGTCGTACAATATTATGTACGAGTGACTTTGTGCGACGATGGATGACAGTGGAGGCGTTACGAAAGAGCTCTGTTGCTTTTTCGGGCCGCAACTCCAAAATGCTCTCAGATTCTTTGATCTACAAGAAAAAACTCGTCGCGTTTCCCTTTATAATCGTCGAACCGTAACACTCTATAATACGACAGCTGAAAAGTGAGAAGGAAACGCGACGCTGGGAAACAGTAATTTTGAATGATCTTTAACACGAACTATCATTCTTCACTCGTTGAGTTAAGAAGGCGGACATAAAAAGAAAAATTACGGTCATTCTGATTTCAATTATTTAAATTCCTCGTAAATTATTTGAAGTTGCGTGAATTTTATAAATATTGTAAATTTTGTGAGTTTAGTAAAAAACGTTGTCGTCGAATTCATAATTTTTGAAATCATGAATGCGAGAAGGAATGGATGATATATCTTATCTACTTTGCAAAGGATTGATTTCTATCTCCGTTCTTCTCTTTCTAGAATACATACTTATATAGCATAACTTTGTATATAAGCTCGGATGAGAAAGCGTATCTTTTCTCACCTGTTGCCGCCAAGTCACTAAGCTCGGATTTCCGGTATTGTCGTTGCGTGACGAATAGCGCCAGTTGCAAAAATAAAATTGTTGCTTGTCAAATATATGATTTAGTATTACTGATTTATTTAATATGCGATATATCAGTCGTTCTGTTTTAGACGAAATATAAAGATTTAATTGCGCACAAGTGACTTTATTTGATGACGATTCCAATATAGATTATTTAAGGTTGAAATGATTTGTATTTATTTCTATCAATTTCTATCAATTTCTATCAATTTGTCGATCAAACATTTAAAAAATAATTCCAATGTAAGCAGCAAATGTAATTTCAAAGAAATTATTATGCTTTCAATAAATTGATCGTGAATTTCGGAGAAATAGAATTAGAAACTTGATCCATAATTAAGATTGTCTCCTTAATTATTTTAATTGTTTTAGATTATTTTGATTCTTAATATTAATATTAATTTGATGAAAGAAATTTGATTTTGAATATGCGAAGAAATCTTAAAATATTAATTGATTTGTTTCAGGTCGATACGTGGGATCGCGTCCTATAAAACTTCGAAAGAGTTCCTGGAAACAAAGAAATCTAGAGACAGTGCGCAAGAAAGAAAAGGAGAAGCAAACGTTGATCGGCTTGCTTACTGGTCGATGATGAAATTCTCATCGTTATAATCCTGTTCATCAACAAAATTACAAATTAACAATTGTTTTGATAATGTGAGAAGAGAGAAACGTACCAGACGAATCGTTGTGAATCATAGTGATGATATTCAATTTCATCACCGATTATTTCGCAAGAATTAACACCAATAAACATTGTAATTACAAATTTGTTATATATTTTGGGTTTTATTTCTTGATATTTTTTTCATAGTATAGGACATATTTTCTTTTAAGACACGTGATGTTTCCGTGCCGAATTCTTTATGCACAAGTTATTCAACATATATTATATATCATGTAAACTGACAAAGGACAATCGGTGAAGAATAGAATCGACTAGCACAAACGATCGAGATTTGGGCTGATTAAGCTATGTCAGGTAAATGACAAAATAGAAAGAATGGAAAATAGAATGGAAAAATCATCAGCAGACCAGCAACTGGGTGAAGACGGAGAAACCGAAATTTCACTCGGGGTAACATAAACAATTAAAGAGAATCATTATATTGATTCTCTCTCTTTAGAAGTTGTATAATAATAAGAAATTACGTTAGCATTACGCAATAACTATACGCTAATTCATCCGATATACTAAAACATTGTTGAACGATATTGCTGTTCGCGTGGATTTCTCCGCAAACGATCTCAGTTGTATGAGGGTGAGAGAAATGAGAAAGGCGAGAGGCATGGCGACGGAAAGGCTTTATTACCGAACGGCGATATATACGTTGGCCAATATCACAATGGGCTTAGACACGGCAAGGGTATCTACGTATTCAAAAATGGTGCTCGGTATAACGGCGACTGGAGACACGGACAGAAATACGGTCAAGGGATCTTTTGGTACCCTGATGGAACGCGATACGAAGGTACGGAAGAATGTACAAAAATAGGATCCGAATCAGACTCGAGGAAGTCGCATCGTGGCGAACACGTGGGCATGTTGACACGTCCATATGTATACCTATATAATTATTTTTATATCGCACGTCAGAAATCTTAGAGAAGCTAAGAATGTACCAGGAATTTGAGGGAGGCGAGTGCGCACTAATCTGCGAGATTCTCGATGATATCAAATTTAATGACACTTGATTCTGATCAGGTCAGCGAAGATCCTTTATTTACAGAATTTAATAAGGCGTTAAATATTAATCCACAGGAGAATGGAAACACGACGTAAAAAATGGCTTTGGCGCTTACTACTACGCGAATAATGACATCTACGAGGGCTCGTGGAAAGACAACCTTCGCCACGGTATGGGAACGTATCTGTATGCTGATACAGAAATTAAATTTATGGGTACATGGATAAAAGACTGCATGGAAGGACCTGGACAGCTCGTCTTCCCGCGCTATCGCTACTACGGTTTCTGGAAATTGAACTTGGTACGGAATACAAACGGAAAAATAATTTCCATGACGCATTAATATATCTGTGGATTGTGAATCTTAAATAAGAAAGCATCTCGTTTATAAAAATCTAGACCGAAGATACATAGCAACATACATTTAATTGATAGAATTATATTACTACATCATGTAGCCGTACGGACGCGGTTGCTTTACCTTTGAGAATATATGCATGCAGCATGGTCACTACATACATGTGAGAGATCCTACATTTACTGGCCTGATAGACACTAAAGATACAGAGGTAAAATTTCTCTTTTTAATTTAAATAAAGATTTCTTAGATTATTTTGACAAGATCTTTTATTTAACTATATATTTTGTGAATTTTTTTATATATACTCCATCTTTTTTAATTGCGCATCGATTACTGTTCAGTCATGAAAGCATTAGTCAAAGCTGGAATTAAAAATTCACATTATTAAACAGGAATGGAATACAGATATTACTCGATAGGGATCTTTGACACCTGATTATTTATTTTTATAAATTCAAGCACAATTGCTTGTGCTACCAACTATCTATCTGTTATTTGTAACAGACTTGATGTAATTGCTCAAATTATATTTTTTTCCTTTAATAAAGCGATAATCAAATTAATGATATCGATTGACTCTTTTTCTCCTCACAGGAATTGTGAAAAATATCACCTCGGTCAGGATTCGAACTCGAGCCTTCTTATTATTTAGAATGGATGTTAATTTGAATACCGAAGTGATATTCATCGCAAGAATAAATCCTAAGAAAACCGTCATATACAATCGATATAAAAAATTAATTCAATAAATGAATAAAGAGAGTTTATGTGTATAACATATATTTAGATAAAAAAGATTTCTCAGATTATTTTAGCAAGATCTTGTATCTGATAAAATATGTTTAAAAAATGATTTGAAGAAATCCTTATACTATGTTGTACACAAGAATGGCCACTATTCATTGAATAATTCATTAAATAATTTTTCATTTATGTTTTTCATTTGAACTTTAAGTTTTAAGCAAATTGCCATTCGAGAAATTATTTTTGTTTTCTTATCCAAAAAGTTTTCCAAAAAGTTTAAACTCCACAAAAACTGTAATCTCTTTTAAATAAAATTATTATAATAATGCAGAAGGCTGACAACGAAAAACTAGAACTAAAAGAATCGGCTTCTTCAAGGATGGGTATTTTACCAAAGTGGCGGGCGCGTTGCATCACACCTTATAATCCGGAATTGCTACCGCCAGAAGCAGAACCGTTACGAGAGGAAGTAATTCATAAAATTATAATCGTGTACTCTATAACTTTTATATCATTTTTCAAAAGTATTGCATCGTACTCGTAATTTAGGCAAACTGTTTCAATGTTCACGACGTAACACACAGTCATGTTTGTCTCATTCCGAGGAGGATAGGCGACATCGAAAACGGTTTAATATTGGAAAGTGGAACCGCGAATTCGTGATCTATATCCGGTTATCTTTTCCTAGGGGGTAGGGGGTAGGGGGAATAGGATTTCCTTAATACGTTGTCTGCGTCATCGGAAGCGGAAACGATTCTTCCGGTAAAATGAATTTTAATCGACCGCTTTGTATTAACAAGGACCAAGCGAGTATCCGGTCGCTATTTCTAGCGCGTCGCCAGACTGCGGGCTTCCGTATCATTAATAGAATTACGATATCCGGGCAGGGCAATAGCAGTCTTTCTTTTCAAACCGTGTTTACGTCGCTTGTCGTTGTCCTGACACGTGCATACATCACCGGTATCCGACAGGATTAAAACCTAATATAATGTATCCTGAAATGTTTCAATCTGACGATGTCACATGTTCACGTAGATGTTCGTGGAATCTTCGATTGACAAAGATGAGGGTGATGTCTGGCCAAAGATCGAGGGATACTCTGATTACGCAGAGGAAGATTATCACGAGGAACCCTATCCGGAAGCGTCACCTCAAATCGACAGTCCTTAATTGCCTGATAAAAATGCCTGAAAACGATAATTCCAAGCTGTCAATTAAACGAGAATGGCTTTCAACGCACACTCTTCACCTTATTCTATATATGTAACTTTGTGATCACACAGGTGATGCAAAACGAAATAAAGAGTGATCGGCCTGCTTTTAAGCGCTTTATTTAGGAAATTATAACAACGAATGTGCGTACGTGTCCGTCATGCAAAACGTAGGAATGTTATTACATCGTCGGAAATCAATTAATTTATATTATAATATAGTAAATGCAAGATACGTTGTTCGCGCACAATTCATAATTCTACATTCAAGTCGTACATTATTTACAATCTGTCCCCGGTTAGTGCAGTGTCGAATGCTGCAACGTTAATGCATACATATACATGTTATATATGTGTGCGTGTGTAATGTGATCTTACACGCGAATTATATACATATCTTTTTAATACGTTAAATGCGAAATTGAAAGCGCAAGCTCAGTTATTGTTAATCGTTACGCGACATAAGCACGTTCGTGAAAGACGTCACCGCGACACAGGATCACGATTAATCCTGTTCCTGCGACGATACTTATTATGTCTATTCCTAAGCTTACGCCTAATTTATGTTGAAGATAATTACATTTTGTATAACGCAAGGACTGAGGGAGGAAGACTAAACATCAGTCGGGAAAAGTTGATAAAGTTATATGAAAGTGGAAGGAACAACAGTATTAAGTTATATTCGTAATACATTTGATAATACGATCGTTTAATCGGATCACAAATTCATTGATGTCTCGTCATATTACACGATCCGATAGAGCATGCCGAGTTCTTGAAAATAGCAAGTTCGAGCAATACTGACAACTACTGTCACTTTTACTGTCATTTTTTGTTAAAGTAGAGAAGATGTTAAAGATGTTAAAGATGCGTTTCAAAGAGGAACGCATATATCAATATCCGTACTATATACGTCCGCATTTTTCTAGTTGATTGCTTTGCGCGATTTATCCTTCATAAGAAAACTAATCGTATCGAGAGACATGGGGGGTTCAATAGAGATCTATAGAGGCGTAAAAGGACGGAGGAAAGGGCGAATAAATAGATAAAATTGTCGCGTGAGAGATTGCAGTCTTTTAACAATAAGTTACGAGTCACGAGCAAGCGGAGTGCGTACCATAATCAAGTCTGTAAAAAGTCCATAAAATATTTAACACAGATAAGAAGTGTTATCAAGAGAATGATGCGATAACTAATTTATATCGTAGAGTTAGACCGTCGTATCGAAGCGTGATCAACGCCGCTGTGCTAAGCGTAGTGAGTCGCGCGTTCGCACCCTACCCGTCCTGGAGCGAGTTCCATTGGACGAGAAGTTTAAACGAATTTACAGAATCCGTGTGGCGCATTGATGCTAGCGCGAGCAACATCGGTGATAGCAAAATACTTTGGTCTGCGACTTCGCGTCCACTTGGCACATATTTAAAAGATCCGCGAGTAACGCGTACACACAGCCCTTGATCCGGTCGAAGCGACTCTGCTTCCTCTCGCCTCCCGTTTCTTCCGTTGAGAGGCTTATTAAGAGAGACAACACTGACTTCGATGTATTATTCACCGATTTTTCCTACGGCATCGGAAATCCCGCGACAAAGTCGAATTATCGAATAACTACTGCGCTCGTTCGCGCATCATAATTCGTTCATATGATCTTGCTTGAAACTCGCACGCCCACGCGAGTGTTTCAGTGTGCGTTTAACGTGCCAACGATTTTCTTCGAAATAGTCGTTTAAGCATCTCAGGTACGTAAACGTGGACGAAATTTTTGCGCCCCATTGTGAGCGAAGCGACTCGTTATGACGGACGAAGTCATGCCACTTTCGACGAGTGGCTCACATCGCTTTGCTCCCAAAATGAGATTTCTCTTCCGTTTATACGGCACGTAATTATATACAAATTGGAGCTTTTAATGTTTCAATCTTTGATCGTCAATATCTTAGTATGTCTATAAGAACGAGCCGTTCGTATTTAACGATTGGGAGGGGAGGGAGAAGAGAAAGGACGGTATCGATAGTACTCCCGCGAGATGGAAAACCGAACGCAGATTACGCACACTTATTGTCCATAGCGTGTACATAACGGGATTTCTTTTTCAATAAATACCGTCCTGACTATGTCGAATGCGGAGGAGATGCGCGTTATTTCGGAGACGTGGACACGAAGCGGCTAAACAACGTTGTCTCACATCAGATCCGATGGTGGTCTCTGAAATGCGATGCTAGCTACAGAAATACTGCACAGACCGGCTGTTATGATACCCATACATATGTAGACCGATGTAATTAGCCAAAAGGCGAATAAATATAGCGTTTTATTGCAATACTTTCCCAAGGCTGGATCATAGTTTGGTTCATATTCTTTATATACCCACATAGAACCTAGAATAAATGGATTTGTAAATCGTTGATTATCTGATACAATTAATTTTAGCAAATCTCTAGACCACAATTAAAAATCATATAGTAATATGGCTACCAATAATAAACCATCCTAGCATAAAACAATTGATCAGAGTTTGCGTAGGCGACTGTCTGATCCTTTCTTCGTCTCTTTCCTCTTGACGTTGTCGCACGCGGGCTGACAAAGTTAATAATTGCTTAAATACTCCAAATCCACCGCCTACCAATAGATATACGGGAATGTATTCACCCTGTGGACAATCGTAAAGATACAGTCCACCGATTACCATCATACAAATTGGTACCACTATCGTCACTCCAAGAATAATGGTACACCCAACTGAAAAATATATTTCACAATTTACACCCAAGATATCTTAATCTAGCATCTCCAAGATATCTTAATCTACCGTCTCTGAGATATCTTAATTTACCATTATTTACCATTAATATTTGACAGATATGTCAACTTACTAGTGCCTAAGAGCAAAACAACAATATTCTTTAAAAAATCGAATATGCCTTTAGATATTTTACGGGCTTCTCTCATACGACCAAATAGAGAATCGTAGGACGGTGGCGGTGCTGGAAATGAAATAGAAAGATAAATATACATAACTCATAAAATATGTAAATATATACACAGAGCGGATGGAAGGCTGGATTTAACGTACCATTAGGATCTATCGCCTCTTCGTACGAGGGTGGCGCACCGCGTTCGTTGGTCAGCGTGGAAGGATGGCCGAGGGGTAAATTGATATTGTGATAGGACGGTGGCGGGGTGCAGCAGGTTGACGTTATCTGCGTGCTCGTGCCGGGATTGACACTCTCCACCGTGTCGGTGGGAACACTCGCGGTATGACTTATCGAGCTCAACGGCATCTCTTCTCGTGCGCCGGTCGCCGTCCTGTTCCAGTACATAAGGTCCGCGCTACCAGACTGAGATTCGAGGAGAAACAGCGAGTCACCTGTCGCTGTTTACATTGGCGAACACTGGTCTCTATAACCTAAAAATTGCTGCGTTCAGAGAAGTTGTTTGCCTTCTTTCTCGGAGAGGGGAAACTGGAATCTGCGAGGAATCTCGTTCCATCGTATCCGAGAGATCATTGCTCACATTTACAAGTTAAGCAAGGAATAGTGAGTTCCGGGGGTGCCGTTTTGAGAAGAAGCTCCGAGACAGCGTGTTGCCCCGTGAATCTCCGTTCCCCTACTTCCTGTACCCCGCGGCGGCGTCAATGCGTCAGACGCGAATGATCCTACATCTGCTGTTAGTCTCACTCTTTCTAATAAAAAGTTTGAGAATTAGGATCACGCAACAAGTATACGATAGCCAATCTTTAGACGCGCGCACGATATATGAAATATTAATTCCATTAAAGTTAAAAAAATAATATAGAAATTTTCACTCGTACACTTAATTTTTATTTTGTTAGATATAATTTATTTTAAACAAAACATGACATATCATTTTTATGGAAAGAACATTAATCTAATGATGTTTTTCCTTCGATTTCCTGCTATTCAACATTTATTTTATCTATAGAAAAATATAATATTTTGAGGTTTGAGTCTTTACTAAATTGATGAATTGAATTTGAAAACTCTTATCGTGAGGTTTGAGTCAATGCTAAAAAGGGTTTGAATCTTCGCTAAGAATTTAAACAAAATGATGTCACATCGATAATATATTGATTTTTATTTATATCAAGCTGAGAATTTCACATTGAAGTTTATATTATTAATTAAAAAAATGGTTATTATTATTCATACATGTATGTATTTATATACGTATACTTTTTTAACTTTTATACTTTTCGTCATATCTACTTAACACTTAATATTAATAAGCAAAGATGTGTAATTACAAATAATATAATAATGAGTAAAATCATTTTATATATTTGTAATTATATAAACTAAATTTTTATAATACAAAATCTTTTCTTGTATATAGCTTATGTATTGTTTGTTTCAAAAAGCAAGATATATATAAAATTATAAAATAGCATTACGTATCGAGTAAAAAAGTTTATTTAAAAATTAATTAAAAATTAATTTAGACGATTTGGCCTTTGTCAAAATTTTTAGAATAGAATCTTATTTATAATTTTATATGCTCTTTCTCTATAATATGAAAAATGTTTGGAAGAGTATATGTTTCAAATATAGCAAGAAATACTTATATACAAAAGATTATAAAAAGCAATATTTATGTATATTATTGTATATTATATGTATGCAATAATTATGTATATTGCTATGTATCTTGTTATAAATATTATGTTAATAAGCCATGTTGAATTTACTATTACTGAATTTTCACTCCGTCGCGAGCCAGATTCACCTCCATAACACTATATCCCTTTGACTGCAATTCTTTCGTGAGAAGCATGATGTTCACGGATGAAGTTTCTGGCAGGCACCAAATGTATACGTATTTACGTTCATCGATATTTGTATATTTTCCGGCCAATTTATATCTTTGCGCGATTTTGCAAATAATATTCAGGTTAACATCCGTCATGTCCAACAGATCAAATAACTCATGCTGCATACGGATGAGAGGCTGCGTAAAACATATCGCGTATTATAATAATTCTCGTACGTTAGCTATCACAACAAATAAGTGCACGAGAAACTCTAAGAAACGGACGACTACATAAAAATAACTTACCAGTAATTCCTTTTGCTGATTCGAAATCTTACATATCATGTCGTTGGCATCAATATCGTGTTGTTCCCAGAAGCTTGACTGCATTAGCTTGAGCGTGTAAAAAGCTGTGATTGTTACAGCCTCGATGTTCTTCAAGATGGAATTAACAAGAGGCAGATGATCCTTTTTTTTCATCTTTTCTAGTACACTTTTCTTAGATTGCTCTATTTGTGTGTTGACTAACAGAATCTTTATATGCGGATGGATGATTAATTTACTGAGAGATTCATTAATATATTTTACTACACATCTGTCATATACAGATACGGCAATGCCAGTTATAAATGTATTAAACTCACGAAATGTTACTTGGCAAATTGAAGAATATTCGAAAATCTTGTCGAGACACTCGTGACGTTTATTATTTATCGATGTATTGTTTTTTAAATACTGCCACTGTAGAAAACACGTTGTATAACATACTATGATTGATGTTAGACCACCTACATTTTCATTCATATTTAATTGCGTTTCCAAGTCAATTTGAAAAGGTGTCACTTTGATTTTTTCTTTGTGAGCGATATAAGTAAGTAAGTAAAAAACGTAAATACGACCACAGTCTGGCAGACTGTAGAAAAGGCATGTTTAAAAGGGATAAACCCTAGTACTTGCCTGTACAATGTATCATCAAACACGCAATTATCAAAAAAATTTTGGAATTTTTTTACAGGTACGCTAAAACATAGAGCGATTTTGCTGAATTTTACTTCGATATAGCCTTCTGAATTTGGTAGTTCGCTGAATTTAAGAGTAGTTCGCAAATCTAAGCTAGCTACTATGCAAGTTCTATCGTATTTTGCCATATGTTCTCCGAATAAATTCAGCTTGCCCGGTGCGGATACTTTGAATTCGATCATTCTGTAGAATAGCAATTCCTGTTGTCCGAATGATGATTGAAAATACAAATAAATCGCCGAAAGTTAGGTCATTTAGAATTAGAAAATTAATGTCGACGTTTCTCACAAATGTAAATCAAGCGGAACTTGGAGTCTCGTTTTTTCCGATTGTTCCGATATGGCAAATTGCAAATTAATCTTCAGTCTTCAAATTTCATACAAAAGATTGCATTACAGATTTTCAGTTACTTAAACTTTCTATAATTAAGCAAATCAATAAATAGATATGATAATTAAGATAACAATGGAAAAATAATCAAATGTAATTAGTAAATATTAAAGTAGATTATAATATACCTGTAATATGACATATCACATAGAGTAATGTAGAGGCTTTTTCTTGCAATAATTCAATAATTACTAAAAATTTAGTATTATAATCAACAAATTAATCTATCAATTTTTACGAGACGCAATATTCTACTAACCATCTAAAGTTACTAAAGGACGAATAATATTATCTTTTGTGTGAAATATATATTCCTTTTCATGTCAGTTTTATTTTTGACTTTTATCCTTTATTGAAGTCTCACAAATATGATATAAACATGTGATATCTCGTACATGAATATATGTTGTAATTATCAATAATTTAAGTTTAAGAAAATTGCTCAATCTTTTATCCTAGATGATTATTCTTTCTTAAATTATTGATTTGTATAAAACAATTTTATGACAATAAATTCTTTCGTTAAGTTAAAAATTTCGTTAAGTTACAAAAAATTCAATTACAAATCTATTGCCATGCTAAGTTTGAGTTTCGGGAAATTCGTGATGTAAAAAAATCTTTGGTACACAATTATAAATTTTATTTCTTAAATTGTTACATATATTTGCAACATAATTATAATATGTAAACACAAAAAGAGTACAAGTCAATTATTTTTTATCATACGCATAAAAATGTTTTCTATTATAATAATGATATACGATTTTATTTTGAATGCTGCTGAAGACAGTAGTTATAAAAAGTTAACACCACAATAATCAGATTGTTTCGTTATTTTCTATATACAGAAATGCAAATAATATAAATATTTTTATAATCACTGAAATAATAATTTATAAATATGGATGACAAAAAATGATTGACGACATCCATGTTTTAATCAGATTAATTTAATATTTCCTTATTAACTGATGCTATAGATCTACTAGTCCGTTTGAGATATTAAGATAAAAAAATATTGAGCAAATTTGAAACATTTTTTTGACATAATAGAGCGTATGTTTTGAATATGAGGAGAATACATAATCTATTTTTACAGTATCTTCCAATTTTTACAATTTATATGTGCTATTAAAGTTAATGCAATATATCGATTTTGTTCCTTCAGTGATTATATCATTTATATTTAATTATTCCTTTGTCTGTTTCCTAATATGTTATTCAATTCTTACTCCGTCGCAACATAGATCGATCATTGTGACACCAAATTGCTGTGCTAATAATTCCTTTGAGACATTTTTGATGAATTTATCTGTAGCATTTAGCGGCAGCAAGACATACGCGTATCTTCCTCTTTCACCATCTGTATACTTTGCTGCTAATCCGTACTTCTCCAAAATTGTGGTAATTATACTCAATAACTTATTCGATACATGTAATATCGCTACAAATTTCTGACCCATAATGCAGTGCCTCTGCAAAAACATTTTTTAATTAAACTGAAAGAAAGGTTTTTCTATTTACGGTTTCAGTAAACGATTGTGTAAAAGAAAGTGCAGCATTCACTTTCGAATCAATTGCGGAATAATAATGTAATATAATTAAAAAATAGAATACGACTTATTTACTCTTAATTTCAAAAATAGCCATGGGAGGAGTTGCTGATCACTTTTAGAATTATTTTTACATTTCTCTTCATAGTCCTTGAGGCTTTTACAAATCGACTGTGATACAACTGTCATGCTATCTAGAATAGAATAGGTAAACAAGAAATGTTTATTTCTCAGCTCATTCAGCCTATGCTTTTCAGACGAGACGGTTTCTCGGTTTCTCGTGTCGACCAGCAGAATCTTTAGACTCGGTATTTGAGAAAACACATTCATCGATTTTTGGCAAAATTCTATTATCGAGCCATATGTGCACACGTTACTCTCAATTCTGACATTGCTATATATAAAATCGTCATATATAAAATTCTCACAGTTTACAGCATATTTCGAGATCTTCTCGAGACAATTCTTATCGAATTTTGCATCTTGTGCGGCATTCTTTTGTAGACACGACCAATGTAGAAAGCACGCCGCGAGGCAGACTGCGGACGACATCGTAGTGCCCAAACCCTCGTTATCCGTTGGTAACAACGTGCTTAAATGTACGTGGAATGATTTTATTTTAATCTGCTCATAATAGGTGACAGAAGCGAGCAGATACAGGAAAATATTTAAGTTTTTCTGCTGCGTCAGCGACAGCTTTTTCGAATCCAAAAGCACAAATTTTTTTGTCAAGCTGTGCAATAAGTTACTACTCCCGGCGAACTCCTGCTCATCTCCGCAAAAGTGATTTAGAAATTGCTGTAATGGTATGTTTACAGATAGACCGATATGAGAAAATTCTATTTTAATAACGTCCTGAGAATCCGATAAATCAGATAATTCGGTGAATTTAAGCGTGGTACGTAAATTTATGCTAGCCGCTAATAAATGATCCTTTCCATGTAAGAATGCATGTTCTCCAAACAAAGTTATCTTGCCCGGTGCAGATATTTGGAATTCGACCATATTCCTTCAATGAATTGAAATTTCTAGTATTTTGTAATATTAAAATAGCCTGATGCTAACGTTGCTGGCAAAATTATGTGAATCTTCAATTCTCCTTCCAAAATTCGAAAGCTAAATCATTTCGATTTTATTAATTAAAATTTTTTAAGTTTTACAGTAAATTGTCAAATTGTCAAATGGCGCTTCTTTTATTTCTTGTTAAAAAGGGCGAAGCGGTGCGATTATGCTATTATTTTATTTTCATAATTTTTTTATATTTTATGAGAATTTTATGACAAAAATTAAGTAAGTAAAAGTTTTAATTTAATGAATTCGAATTATAACGTTAATGGTATGCGATAATAAAATTCGAACATGTCAATTGAGTCTGATAGATTGATGCGGTGACGTGTTATGACAGATGATAAAAATAAAGCAATTGCATTACGTGGCATTTAAATGGTTAATTTATAAACTTTATAAAATAAATTAAGTTAATGTATTATTTAATGAATTCCACGTGAAAATATTTTAGAATATGTTAAAAAAACATGAATATAATCTAGGAATAATTATCTCTACGAGTAAGATACCTGTGATGTAATTCTACAAATGTTTATTAAAATGAGCACAGATGTGAATGTATCTTCTTTGACAGACAGATAAATTTATATTCTCTTCAATTGTTCTGGCACTATTGTTAGATAAAGAAATCGAAGATTATTTCAGCGTTTTCAGATTTTGAATACGAAATTTTCACCACATGAAATAGATCTTGATATCTTAATATATCTTAATATATTTTCCACTAAACTGAAATTATAAAATTGTTAAATTAAAAATTTGTAATAAAAAATATTATTGAATAAAGTATTTTTAATACCATAAAATTATATTTTAAATTTTAATCGTTTATCTATCGTTAAATTTCTTCTAACAAACTACTTTTATTTATCCTAATATAATTTATCCTAATAGATGTTATTGAAATGTTTTTGATGAATCATGCTACTTACACATTCAAAAAATTTTAGTTACATTTATATATATAAATATATATATAAATATTTAGTTACATTTATATTTATAAACACAATATGTGACAATGATATTTAGTTTCTATCTATGTAATGACTAAATTAAAATAAAATAGCTATACTATTTGTGACTAAGAAACTAGTTTTAAACAAAATTCTTCTATATGATTAGTATTTGCAAAAAAAATATCACGTTGATTATAATTTAAATTAGAATAAATGAAAATAAATAAAATAGATACAGTGAAATTTGTAAATATACATTAAAATATTAATTTTATCACAATTTGTACAATTATATTTAAATTACATTTATATTTAAATTCCTCACTTAATTATATTTTAATTTTATTTTTTATTTATATATTTTATTTAAATTACATTTGCATTTTATATTTAAATTATAAGTAATATTTATGAAAGTCCTCCTTACATCATCCTTACATATTTGATAAACGTAGGTTTTATAAATTTACATTATAAGAAAGAAATAGAGGGAAGAGGGAAAAGGTGGAGAGAGAGAGAGAGAGAGAGAGAGAGAGAGAGAGAGAGAGAGAGAGAGAGAGAGAGAGAGAGAGAGAGAGAG